GAATTTATTAAAAATTAAAAACTGAAATTTTTGACGAGTATTCAGACCCTTTGCAACAAATGAAATTTAACTCCAGTGCCTCACATTTCTCTTGATTGTTGCTGAGAGGTTTCTATACCTTGATTGAAGTCCACCTGTGGTGAATTAAATTGATTAGACATGATTTGGAAAGGCACACACCTCTCTATTAAAAGCCTCACATCTGACAATGCACATTGTATCGGAAGAAATGCCATGCGGTCAAAGGAACTGCCTGTTATATTCAGAGAAATAATTATTGCAAGGCACAGAGGACATCTACATAAAAATTTCTGCTACACTGAAGGTTCTTAAAAGCACAGTAGCCTCCATAATTCTCAAATGGAAGATGATTGGCACAACTTCCAAGAGCCGGCCGCCAAGCTGAGCAATCCGGGGGGGGGGGGGGGGGGGGGGGGGTGGAAGGCCTTAGTAAGAAGTGACCAAGAACCCTATGATTGTCACTTACGGAGCTCCAGAGATCATGTGTGGTGATGGGACAAAGTTCCAGAAAGACAACCATCACTGCAGCCCTCCACCAATCTGGGCTTTATGGCTAGATAGAAGCCTCTCCTCAGTGCAAAACACATGAAAGCATGCTGGGAGTTTGCAATAAAGCTTGGCTGTCCTTCTGAAATGTTATCCCATCTCCACACAGAATCTCTGGAGCTCAGTAAGAGTGACCATCGAGTTCTTGGTCACCTCCCTTACTATGGCCCTTCTCCCCCGGTTGCTCAGTTTGGCCAGAAATCAGCTCTTGGAAGAGTCATGGTTGTCCCAAACTTCTTCCATTTAAGAATTATGGAGGCCACTGTACTTTTGGAAATCTTCAGTGCAGCAGAATTTTTTTTTTTTTGTAAGCGTTCCCTGATTTATGCCCTGCAAGAATCCTATCTCTGAGCTCTGCAGGCAGTTCCTTTGACCTCATGGCTTTTGCTCTGATACAGTATGCATTGTCAGCTGTGGGTTTTTGTTATAGAGAGGTGTGTGCCTTTCCCAATCATGTCCAATCCATTTACCACAGGTGGACTTCAATCAAGGTGTAAAAACATCTCAGAAATGATAAAGAGAAATGGGAGGCACCTGATGTAAATTTCAAGTGTTGTTGCAAAGGGTTTGAATACTTATGCCAATGTAATATTTCAGGTTTTTATTCTTCATAAATTCAGACATTTTTCAAATTCTTTTCGCTTTGACCTTATGGGGTACAGAGTGTAGATTAATGAGAAAAATAAATTAATTTACACAACTGTAGTATCAGGTTGCAACATAACAAAATTGAAAAAAGTAAAGGGGGTCTGAATACTTTCCGAATGAACTGTATATTTATTTTTACACAGACAGTAAGGTAAACCAGATTCTCAGCATCAGAAAACCAGTGTGAACCTATGCTGGTGCTCATGCATGTGCACATTGCACACATGCTCATGCTTCCAAGCGAATGGGCAATGTTATACTGTTCCAGTTTGTCAAGCGCATGTAAATGAAAATTAGCATGCACACTTGGTGCTCGGTGGCCTATTTAAATTGGTCTGTTACAATGAGCAGTTGCTGAATAGTCTTCAGCTTATTCCCGTAATATTGAGACCTACTTACCTGTGTATGACCTAACTTGCCCTTGGACTTCACTTCTGCTCCTATCTCAACCTTCCTTGTTCACATGACTACTCTGACCCTGGCCTGTTTACTGACTTGTCTTTGCCTGCTGATTCTGTAGTGTTTTGCCCAGCTGTTACTGACCTTGGCCTGCCTCCTGGACTTGCTCTGCCTGGGGGCTTGGTCCCTCACCGACTGCTGCATTTCTCCTGGTCCCGCTTCTGTCTTCTGCTCTGGTGCCAAGCTGCTCCTGCAATCTGTCCTGAGGATGGCAACTACGAGCTCTACCCACCTAAAGAGAGGATATCACCAGCCAACTACTACGGCACTCATGCCACTCTATGCCTTCACACACACTGTTCCCACCTTCAGGAATGTTGGGCAGGTGGTGCAAGAGAGGCCTCCTCAATGGTTCAGTCTTCGCCAGGTACAGTACGTGACACACATGCATGTGTTTGCTTCAGATGTAGTCTCTATTTTACATTTGGACAAATAACACACATACCAATGAAAAGGAGGATTTTAAACATAAGCAAATGCAGCTTACTCAGCACCATAGGAATACATTCCAACTTCAGTCAAAAGTGCCTACGGTATGGATTTATATGAAATACAGATATGAACTCTGGTTTAGTTTTTAGAGCTACTTATGATACAAACCACACATTTTCCTAGAAACTTCGCCGGGCTACCAATATGCATTTGGCATAAAAGTGACAAGAATTACCTAATTTTTCACTTTAAATGAGCCACCTGATAATAGCTTAGGTCTCTTAAAGTGGACCTAGACTCTGGCAAATGTATCCTTCAGAGTATGAGGCAAGTCAGTTGTGATATACATTGCATTCATAATAGGCATTGTGCTTCCACTTAACAGTGCAAGGCAACTATGAGGCAGCCACCATATTACTAGAGGTGCAGGGTAATACTACTGGGCAGCTCTTCCTGTTCCTAGATCTCCTGATGTTTTCAGCCAGATTTCAGCTTTAAAGGAAATGTAAATTCAGCCATTGCTGTTGGAATTACTGGCTGTTTGGTTACCAAAATGATCTAATGAACTCAGTGCTTTCTGAATCACTGACTTAGAACATGCAGAAAGTGAAATTGGAACTGATCTACAATATATTCCTTTGTCAGATCATTAACTCAGGAAATATTGAAGTCAATAAAGAAGCTTAGATGTCCTTAGCTGTAGTGTCTGCATTTTTCTTATTTTAACCACTTCCCAACCGCCCTATAGCAGAAATACTGCTGCAGGACAGCATGGGTGCGCAATAATCACGTATATATAAGTGATTTTGCATTTCCAGGTAGAGGGCGCGCCCTATCCGTGTCGCCATTCGTGGCTGTTAATCACCAGGTCCCGGTTGGTGATTATTCACCGGCGCCCAGTGATTGCTGAGCATCTCCGATAGGGAGAACGGTTTGTAAACACAACAGTTCTCCTCCCTGTCCACTGTAAGCACAGTTTTTTTTTTAGCACTGATCAATGTATTGGTGTCACTGGGGATGTCAGTAACACCAAGTCAGTTCCCACCAGTGTCAGAATGCCTGCCGCAGTCAAACTATAAGTCGCTGATCGCCATCATTACTAGTAAAAATAATTTTTTTAAAATTCCAGTATCTATGCGGCCATTTGTAGACGCTATAACTTACACATAAACCAATTAACTTACACGTATTGGGATTTCTTTTTAGCAAAGACCGGTATCAGAATACATTTTGCCCTAAATTTATGACAAAAATCTATTCTTAAAATGTTTAATAGCAAAATGTAAAAAATATGTTTTTTTTTCTCAAAATTGTCAGTTTTTTTATAGTGCAAAAAAAAACAAAAAAAAAAAAAAAAAAAAAAAAAACGCACAGGCAATGAAATACCACTGAAAGAAAGCTCAAGTTGTGGGGAAAAAGGACGTAAATTTAATTTGGATGCAGCATGGCATGAACGCACAGTTGTCAGTTAAAAGTAACGCAGTGCCGTAATGCAATAAATGGCCTGGTCAGGAAGGGGGGTAAATCCTCAGGAGGGCAAGTGGTTAAAGCTTTTTTCCCCTCATTTCCTCCTTGTTATTCTGCCAGTAAGACACTTTCAGTCCTATCATAACAACACTCATTCACCGGACAACATATACCTGAGAGGACTATTGGACCCCACCCCTATCTTAGTCACATAACAGAGGGGCGTGGTTCGTAAAACCTTAGGCTAGCCATACACTATACAATTTTCTGTCCAATTTCTTTAGATTTACCTTCAACTATGTAGTGCAAGGGCTTGCCTAACTGGATACAATTCAAAGTGTCATTTAGGTTTGACCTCATATTATATGGTGTTTGGTAAATCTAAAGAAAAATTCTCAAGAAAATTGAATAGTGAGTGTATGGTCAGCCTTAGAAACATTTGGAGACAACACGATTTAATAAGAGTTAGAGGCAGTTATCAGCTCATGAGATTTCTGGCAGAATCAATGTATGTATTTTTTACTTCTCAACTTGATAAAACACCATAAAATATATTTTTGACACTAACGGGAGGCTGCCGGCTCTCGCAGCTAATTGCACCCACTCACATGTAATCGCTCAAACAGCAATTATAAGCGGGTGATCAGCCCTGGAGGAAGGCAGTCTGTATCCAGGGTTGATCACTTGCATGTGATTGCAGCATGAGCGATTAGCGATTACATACGAGAGGTGTGACTAGCTGCGATACCCAGCAGTCTCCCATTGCTTTCAATGGGGATGCCTACTTTCAGCTAATTGCGGGAAACCCCGCTGCAGTTCTCACAGGTAATCCCTGCCAGGGTGCATTTGCAATGTGAATGCACCCTAAACCTTATGCTACATGTTAAGAGATAAAACCTCTTACAGTGCATTGTGTAGGCTGCCATTGTTAACCTCTCCCTTCTGATAAAATTAGTTCCCCACTTGTCTTGCTGACGCTTTGGCTTTATTGCTTCAAAAGCTATTAACTTAGAACATGTTTACAGATCAGAAATCCTGAATTTTGTAATAGCATGCATGTTACAGGTCTGAATTAAGCATAAATGCAAAACGAGCAGAAATATAATATTTTCAGGAACATCAGCCCCAAACCTCTGTTACGATAGGTGTACGTCAGGTAATAAAATAACACATATACAACAAGCCAAACTTTATTTAGAACATCATTCTAACAATCAGAATTTACAAAAATCCATACAAAGAATGATTAGGAGAACATAGAGAACAATTTTCATACTCTTGGATCAACTGAGGTTTCCAACAAGTTCCTTTTTTTTTCCTTTTTTAAACAGGACCTAAACAGCAGTGTCCTAACATTTTATTACAAACTCAAGGTATAGTGCAGATTTAAACTCTGAAATTCAGGCTTGTGGGTTCTGCTTTTTGTTTCATCCAGAATGAGCTCCATTACTTTCTGCAACAATAGAAAGCACACATTAAACAATTTTAAATAAACTAACCAAACAAAGCTGAGCATACACTGATTTTCATGTATAGATTCTTGTAAAAATCGTTGGCCAACGCATTTTTTCGCCATCAATATATAATTTGTATATTAATTTACATAGTTTATAAGGTTGCAGAGGATATAGACACAGGTCCATCCAGTACAACCTATGTATGTACACGTGTGTGGTGCTACATTCCGTACCTGTGACTTGTCTGTAGTTTCCTGGTGTACATCTTGATCCCTTTTTGTAAATCGGTAACATATTTGCTCTACACCAATAAGGTGGTACTATTCTAATCAGTAAGGGGTCTTTAAAATTAGAAATGGCGGCTTAGCTATAACCTCTCCCTAAGGACTTGCGGGTGTAAGCTTCTGGATCTGATGATTTGTTCACATTAAGTTTCTCTAGTCTCTCTTGTACCTCTCTTCAGCAAAACATTTTATTTTAATTTTCATTGAAAAGTTTTCAATAAGTATACATATACAGTTAGGTTCATATATATTTGGACACAGGCAGAATTTTCATACTTTTGGCTCTGTATGCTACCAGAATAAATTAAAACGAAACAATCCAAATGAATCTGAAGTGCAGACTTTCAGCTTTAATTCAAGGGGTTGAACATAAATATCAAGTACAAATTTTTGGAACTGCAACCATTTGTTATACACAGTCCATTCTCTGGGGCTCAAATGTAATTGGAAAAATGAATATAATCAAAAATAAAATGTTTATTTTTAATATTTTGTTGAGAATCATTTACTGGCAATGACTGCCTGAAGTCTGGAACCCATGGACATTACCAAAGACTGTGTTTCTTCCTTTCTGATGCTTTGCCAGGCTAACTGCAGCTGTCTTCAGTTGTTCTTTGTTTGTGGGTATTTCTGCCTTTAGTTTTGCCTTCAGCAAGTGAAATGTATGCTCAATTGGGTTGAGATCGGCCACTGCAGAATATTTAACTTCTTTTCCTTCAAAAGCTCCTGGGTTGCTTTTGCAGTGTGTTTTGGATCATTGTATATCTGTACTGTGAAACGCCGGCCAATCAACTTTGCTGCATTTGGCTGAATCTGGGCTGACAGTATATCTCTAAACAGTGCAGAATTAATTCCGCTGCTCCTGTCACATCATCAATAAACACCAATGACCCAGTGCCACCAGAAGCATGCATGCCCATGCCATCACACTGCCTCCACCATGCTTTACAGATGACTGTGTGCTTTGGATCATGAGCTGTTCCAAGCCTTCGCAACACTTTTTTCTTCCCGTCATTCTGGTACAGATTAATCTTCGTTTCATCTGTCCAAGTAATGCTTTTCCAGAACTGGTCTGGCTTCTTTATATGGATTTTGGCAAAGTCTAATCTGGCTTTTCTATTCTTCAGGCTTATGAATGGTTTGCACCTTGTGGTGAACCCTCTGTATTTGCTCTTGTGAAGTCTTCTCTTGATTGTAGACTTTAACAATGATACACCCACCTCCCAGAGAGTGTCCTTCACTTGTCTGGAGGTTGTGAATGGGTTTTTCTTTACCAGAGAGAATCCTGCGATCAACCACCACTGTTGTCGTCTGTGGACGTCCTTTTTATGTTGCTGAGCTCACCAGTGTGTTTTTCTTTCCTCAGAATGTACCAAACTGTTGATTTGGCCACTCCTAATGTTGCTGCTATCTCTGATGGATTTGTTTTTGAAGCCTTACAATGGCCTGTTTCACTTGCATGGACAGCTCCTTTGAACGCATGATGTAGGTTCACAAGCAATAGATTACAAATGCAAATACCATACTTAGAACCAACTCCAGACCTTTTACCAGCTTAATTGATGAAGAAATAATGAAGGAGTAGCCCACACCTGGCCATGAAACAGCTTTTGATTCAATTGTCCAATTACTTTTGGTCCCTTGAAAAAGAGGGGTGGCTAATGTTAAGAACTGTAATTCCTATACCCTTCCTCCAATTTGGATGTACATACCCTCAAATTAAACCTGAGAGTGTGCACTTTCATCCCATATCCATTGTATAACTATAGCTTGAATATGATTTGGTAAATCCATTGCCTGTATCCAAATATATATGGACCTAACTGTACATTTAGTTACAGCAGATGGTGATGTTTACTTAAAGCAGAACTTCACCTGAAAAGAGAAATTCTGCTTAACCTCCTCCTCACCCACCTCCTCTCTAAAATGTTTTTTTTAGGAGTGCCTAGTTTTGACAGGTACCCACACTCCCGCTTGGCTCTGCCTTTTTATTAAAAGTTAGCATTTAATTTTTTTTTTTTTTTTTTTAATTACAAGACCAAAGACAAATCCACCAATGGTTAAAGGATACTGTATAAATCATTTTCACTGTAGAAATAAACTTATTAGAGTAGTAGTCGATTGTTAATAGTACCATTTCCAATACAATCAAGACAGTAAAATAAGCTATATAAAGGACAAAGTTTGGAAGTCTGCTGTTTGTACAATTTCAAATACAAATCACAGAAGTGTGGTTTTAGCATGTTAGCAAACAGCCTATCATATAATGAGCTAATAACAATTATCTACTGTAATTTAAATTTTAGATCACAGAACTATAGAGAGGTTGGGAGGGAAGGTCTATGTCTTCCTTCCCTACTGGACACTGCCATAAATGTCGGATATTCCCTTTGCATATTCAGAGCATAGACTGCAGTACATAACATGAAAGGGGCACCAAAATCCGATTATTGCACTGCGTATTGAGATTTGTTTTGGGGTGTCATTTATTTAACACTGACCCTGGCAGTAGTTCGCAAAATGGATATAGATATGGCAGGTCTCGGATATCTATTTTTCAAAGGAGAGGTGAGGAGGCCTAACCCACTCCAATACCTCTTAGCATAAGGGATGTTTGGGTTCAAAATGCTGTATTGATTTAATGAGTTATGAAATATGCTGAGGTTTTAGAGTCTTGGCTGACAACCCTTCTAGCAGAAATATGGGATTGCCAATTTCCTTCAGCTGAGCTATTAATGATTACGTATCTGTTAGCTGTCCGGATTGGTAAAGCTTGCGAGGGCAACAGTTTTATTAGGGTTTCTATACTAAAATTGTGGATTGGGTAATGAAGAAGTCTGCGTGTCTCACCAATTGATAACAAGGTCCTGACATCAGTTAACAGTCTGTGTATCGTATAAACTGAAAGGGGGTGGAGGGGGGGAGATCACTGGGCTATGCCTTCTTATGACAAGATGGCATAGGAGACTTGTGACATGACAGAAAGGCTGCTACACACACACAGCTATCTGCGTGCCCAGTATGTACGACCATTACACTGGCAGTCTCTGATTTATTCTGGATTTTGGACAGCAACACAAAGTTGTTGCCTCAGAATATAAGTACCGTGGAGAATAGTGTCCACAAGTCTAACAATCAAAATGAATGAGGGAAAATGCCTTAAGGGTCCTATCATGTGTATCCTTTTGTTTGAACATCATAAGGAACTGGTAGGCCCATACGTAGCTCAATTTCATCGGGTCACCCATACGCTGCACTGTAAATAACTGACCATTTAGAGAGTAAGTAACCAGTAGTGGTTTAACATATATATGGCGCAGGCCAGGCATCACAATATTATATTATGAAATGAACATTCAGGAACTCACCTGGCTCTTTCAGTGATAAAGCATCTCCCGCCAGCAAATCAGCACCAGGTCCTTGTCCATTTAAAATTTCATCACAGATATTGTTGTTTAGTTGCTCTTTTTCCATCTCAGCTATCAGTTCTGCCTGTGGAATGAATATAAAACATTAGCATCATATCTTGAAAAAATATAATCTTAACTTTCTAAAAAGCCTAAACCTAACTGAATACCTTGGGTAAAGCAAGTTTAAGAGGCAGATCCTCAAGTTTCACAAAGTCATCTTCATCAGACTTCTGACTCAAATTTCCAGAGCCAGTTTCCTGTTCAACAAAAAGCACATATCAGAGTTACTACAAATTGCATATATTGCCACTAAAGAGAATACTAAAGGACCTTCATTGTAGTGTACATAAGGTATGCTATGATGATTAAGTGGAACTATCCAAAGCTTTGCATTCTCCCCAAAAGACATTGCTTGCTTCCTATAAGAGCTGACTGCAGTAACTGAACGTATTTACAGTGAAATCATACTAACTCCTTCCTGTGGTCAAAGCACAGACCCTGCAATACCCTTACTGCAAAAGCATGGTAGAATCACTTCAATGCTTTTACCAATTCATTGGTTCAACACAGTACAATATTCACAGGCAGCCATAACCAGAGCCCAAAACACAGACTGCTGGCCGTAGTTTGCCAAAACAGGTTCTTACCGCTGCAATTTAATGAAATAGGATGGATTTGACCTTCTTTGGCTGTGTTGCATATTTACAATACTTATGCATAAAAAAAAAAAATACTGAGTGTTAAGACGACGCAATAATCAGTCCTTCACTGACTATTTAACCACTTAACTTCCTTAGGCTGTTTTAAAACATCCTGGACATGAAGATCTTAAAACAAGCTTATGGTTGTAGGAGCTTGGTATCTTCTTTTTCAGGCAGCAATCTGCTGTTCAGTAAAAGTGATCCGGGTGGCTCTGCAACCCATGCGTTTAAGTAAACTGTGACTTCGCAACACATGCAAGGCATCGCCACGAATGCTGGGGTGACAGCAACAATTTTTGAGCCATAATTCATTGCCGATTCTAAACTGATAACTGTAAAAGGTTTTAAAATATCACCTATGCAAAATTTTAGGTACTGTAGTTTTTTTGCCATTTCATGGTCACTCACCAATTTAGTCTTTACATGTTTGTTACATATCATCCAAACATTGGGTATTATATTGTGTATGCTGAAATTCATTTTAGTGTATGCTCCCCAAAAATATACATTTGATACACAGCTGAACAAATATTGTGCAACGTAAAAGATTGCAACTGCCACCATTTTATTCTGCATGTCAGACAGGCTCTCCCTTCAGCAATTTGAGAGACAAATGTGTCACCCAACTATCAACAATCTGCTGTGATTTTTTTGTCAACAAGCAATCACACAGATACATGATTGGATAAAAGCTGCTCCAGATGAGTAACAATTTATGCCTTTTTATTTTCTTAAATGGCTTTACAGTGTGTTTTAAAATACACTCTACATAACAAAATGAACACTAAAACTTTGTGACTGCAGCCTTGATGACAACCAATAGTTCAAGGTGTAGTTGAATCTTCACACACATGCTTTCAAATACTGTGTAAATTGAGCAGCACAATAAGAACATATACTGATCACAGTTCGACATTTGCAATGGTTAATAAATAAATAAAATAAACTTACATATTCATTAACTAGCACAGGGGAGTCAGTGGCAGGACTGCCAGGTCCAGAGCTCTCAGTTGATTCCAGACTTGACTTGGTATCCACGTCCACTGATGACAACAGATCACCATCTTTGTTTAAATTCAATGAAGCCGATACAATTTCAGCTGAGATATTAGGTTGATTCTGTTCCTCCGCTACATTTTGTACCTCTTCTAAAGTGAAACACAAATTTTTATTTTTAAATACAAAATAGACAGAAAGTTAAAATTCGTTGGTGCTGGAGATAAATGCAGAAAGATTCCTATATGCAATGGATTCTAAAATGGAGAGTAAATTCTGCTTTCAACATAGGCCCCACTTTCTAAACACTGGCTGTTAGTGTATTTAAAGTGAATGTACCGACCTTCTGAATTTAAGAGATCATTCAGAACAAATTTTAGACTCACCTGCACAAAAACTTTTTTTTTGCAGTACAAGGCAAATCTTTATTCTTAACCATATATCGTGAGGTAATCTGACCTCCCAGCAAGCCTCAGTTGTATAGCGAACAATAAGACAATCATAAAAAACAGTGATATGGTCGCTCATCATTTAGAGGTACAATTTCCCTGAGCCGGGGGGTTTTAGAGCATTTTGTTGTGGGAAAAGTGCCTTTCCTCTTTTGACCTCCTTACTAAACCTGTAAGTACATAACCAATAATAGGTCCTCCATATGAGTGAGGCATCTTTCACAGGCAGGCTCAGCTGTTCAGGCTTTTCACCATAAGATTCTGTGCATATGGACATAAATGAGATCATTCTTCAAATTTGTGTCATTACTTATTCTAGGGCATCAACACAGGAAAAAAAGGGCGGAATGCAATACTTTTAGGTGTTCCACCAGAAATTGGTCCTTGAATACAGGATTCTGTTGATCAATCATTTCCTTAGTCCAATTAGGGGCAGATGTCTTTAGCAACTGGAGCAAGATGTTAGGAATAAGACCCATCCCTGGCTTCATCTTCTTAGATGGGCATATCCCCCCACAGGGGTCTTCAGGGACAAGGTTCTGCCACTGTTGGACCACTACAGCACCCTGTGGCTAACAATGCGATGCATTACATGCCAAGTTGAAAGCCTATGTAGGATCCACTGCCAAAAGCAATGTTGTAGACTGCCTCCCCCATTTTCATCAATAAAGGGTATGGGTACACACCCAAAGGACTAAGCCAAAGGGTCATCCTATCTGGGAAGATGCAAAAAAGAAGCGAGAAATCTTAATAGAAGAATCATAAGTTAAAAATGGAATTCAAGAGAGGTAAGCTTCTCTCAGTCAAGAGACTACTCCAATCACTAGCAAAAAAACTGAGGCTTACTGGTAATGGGAGAGGTCGTATAGGGGATGTCACTGTGGCTTTTTTTTTTTTGCCAATGCCCAATCACCTGAAGGTAACACTTGATCACATCATCCCACAGAATTAGCATCCTCATGTCAGTGAGTGGCTGCTACAGGGGAGAGGAGGGAGCACCAACAATGGCTGCAGGATTCCCTGACCAGACTGGAGCACATTGTATAAATAAGGATCATTGATCCTTATTTTCAGTCAGGCATGATAAGAAGGAGTAGGGGGGAGGGAACATATTTAGGAAAAGTTAGTTAGTATCTAGCTAGGGTTTTCTTCCACTTTATATTTTTTCATACATTAGGTTTATTTTTTTAGGAGGCAATTAATTTTATTTTTCAGGTTACCCAACTACTTCTGCACTGGTTAGGTAATTTTCTGAAATGTTAAAAATAACTAAATAATTGCAGAGATAATAAGCTTTACCCTTTCTTGCCTTCTTAGCTCAAGCCTATATGTAGCAGCATCAGGATGTGAGAACATCGACATTACCTGCTTCCTGTATGCATAGTTCTGCTGTGTATTCACTCTCTATTTCTGTTTCCATGATAGGATTTGTCAAAATCTACCAAATATGAAATTATAAAATTAGCCATTTGGATACTATACACAAAACAAGGCACTAATCAGTAACAACATTACCAGAATTTACAATATACGCACCTGTTCCTTTTCATTTTCATCAGTGGTTTCAGCATTGGCTTCCAGGGATGTCTGTACATCCACCGGGCGAGCTTCAAACTCATAATTCTCTTCCTCCTCATTCTCATCTTCCCCACTTCCATAGTTAGTCAACGCCTGTGTTTCTGCTTTGGATAGACCTGCCACCAAAATGAAACAAAAATATTAATATACTAACAGAAAAAAATTTACTTTTGCACTTAAAATTTTTTATAACTACCATACTTGTAAGTCTTTCTTATCAAAGTAGTCAAGAATGAGATTTCCCTTGCCAGCTAGCTGCCTTTATGCACCAACTGGGTAGTGTATGTTGTGGAGATAAAAATACAATTCATAAAGCAGCACAGAGAAGCACCAATGTCACAGTTTCAAAAAACACTTTCTACATAACATCTCATTCTATAAAAACCACACACCAGGGTTGTTAAAGTACACATTTTATGTATCGTGAACTGACACTCTTATGATCGGTATATCAGTCTTGGAAAATATTGGTACAGTTTTAGTACATTAACATTACTTTGTAACCTTGCAATCCTCTTTGCATGCTTGGCTGTGCAATTTGAATGAAGTAACTGACAAAATACAGGGGGCAATGCAATTCCTATCAGTACTAAGCTAGTGAACAAAGTTGACCATTATAAAAGTTTTTTTTTTTTTTTTTTTTTGAGGAGGCGAGAGCAGGATGGCTTTTCAACTCATAAGGCAAGCAATCTGATAATCCCCAATCCTTGCACAGGAGTGAATTCTGAGGGTCCAAAGCCAAGATGGTATAAGAAAAACAAGTTTAAGATAATAGTTAACCACTTAAGGAGGAGGTTACCCGTGACCCCAAGTAGGAAAAAAAAATTCAGGCACTGGCTCTCGACAAGTTCACTACCATAATACAAGAGGATTTTTTAGATAAACGGCAACCAGAGGTTGCCAACGAGAACATGTTCTTGAACATAGTGTCAGCCATGGTCTAAAGATATGCCAAAATAAACCTGAATACGTATGTCAGACACACTTGGCAGTACAAGGATGTGCTGAGGAGTCTGATAAGGATACCTTTGCCCAGTTAGTGCTCCAAAAAGGAGCAATTTGAAACCCATTGTAGCTCTCCCATAAAACCTAACTAAGGGGCTAAAGATATGTATGACCTGGAGAGAACTTGAGTATATGGGTCAAACAGACACAGGAGCCTATAAGGAGGGGGTCCCTGAGACAACCTGTGATCTGAATGTTCAGGGTATGATAAAGTGTCTAATATACATTGCAAACACAGAGTGGGGCGATTATTTTTTCAACTTTCAACAATGTAAAGGGTATAATAATGTGTGAGTAGATGGGGTATAATGAATATGAAAGAAATATTGGCAGGTCTACAGGAGACCAGGCAGAGGCCAAGCTACTGCACTAGACATAGTGGCAGGTCAATAGGTGATTACACCAAAGTCAAGTTAATTACTGAAACATGGTTTTTGGGGTATGATAGGATATGCATCCCCATACAGACAGGAGACCCTGTGTAGGATTTGAAAGTCCTTGTATTTCTTCCTGAAAAAGGAAGGAATGACCACCCCCTGTGACCATGAAGCTGCAAGGAGGTGTAGGGCTCTTGTGAAGCAAAAAGGTAGGGAAAAAAAAAACTACAGAAATCAGAGAAAGAGGACAGCAATCTCTGAAAGTAAAATGAAAAACTAGAGGCATTTTGGAGTTTGACAAATCGCATTTTCCACAGTGTCTACATAGAATAGTAAGGCCCATGGCAAGTACTGCAAACTTGCAAGAAGGAAAGGATTGTCTATATTAGCAGACCATCCACGATTGAGTTTTCCAGCCCAGTCTGCCAGTTTGGGCAAAAGGTAAGATGGCAATAACCGGCTGCAAGGCTGGACCTGCCAGCGCAATGGATGACATCAAATGAATCTTTAAAAGGAGTGCTTGTCATTATGTAGAAACAGTAGATTGATCATTTAGTACATGAATAGCTGGGGTCCACGCAGGGAACAGTTTTTTTTTTTTTTTTTTTTTAATTCTTGTCACAGGTTACAAGGCAGCAAAATTGCCAAGAGGTGTAAATAACCTCTTGGAGTTAGGCAAATCATTATATAAAGTCTAATTGGCTTAATTCAGAAAAGGGAAAGACTTCCTAGGTTTTGCCTTTTTTTAATTCAGGGCCTATTGGGGGGTATATAGGGGCTGTGTGGAACTAGATACAGTGAAGGAAATAAGTATTTGATCCCCTGCTGATTTTAAATGTTTGCCCACTCACAAAGCAATGATCAGTCTAAAAATCGAATGGTAGGTGTATTGTAACACAGATACATGCACTTCTTTTGAATTTTTTGTTGCTATTCTGTCTAACAAATTTATGCACTGATTTGCATGTTCAAGAGGGAATTAACTATTTGATCCCCTATCACTCAGCAGGATTTCTGGCTACCAGGTCTCTTTCATACAGATAACAAGCTGAGCTTAGAAGCAGTCTCTTAATTTTTGTCTCATTTTGTTACCTGTATAAAAGACACCTGTCCACAGGAGCAATCAAGTAATCAGATTAAAAAAACCCTCCACCATGGCAAAGACCAAAGAGCTGTCCAAGGATGTCAGGGACAAGATTGTAGACCTACACAAGGCTGGACTGGGCTACCAAACTATCGTCAAGCAGCTTGGTGAGAAGGTGACAACAGTTGGTGCAATCATTCGCAAATGGAAAAAACACAAAACAACTGTCAGTCTCCTTAGGTCTGGTGCACCATGCAAGATCTCACCTCGTGGAGTGTCAATGATCATGAGAACAATGAGGAATCATCCCAGAACTACACGTGAGGATCTTGCCAATGATCTCCAGGCAGCTGGGACCACAGTCACCAAGAAAACAATTGGTAACACTATGCCGACAAGGATTGAATTCCTGCAGTGCCCACAAGGTCCCTCTGCTTAAGAAAGCATATGTCAGGCCCATCTGAAGTTTGACACTGAACATCTGAATGATGCAGAGGAGGACTGGTTGAAAGTGCTGTGGTCAGATGAGACCAAAATCGAGCTCTTTCGCATTAACTCAACTCGCCGTGTTTGGAGGAGGAGGAATGCTGCCTATGACCCCAAGAACACCATCCCAACTGTCAAACATGGTGGTGGAAATATTCTGCTTTGGGGGTGTTTTTCTTCTAAGGGACAGGACAACTGCACCGCATTAAAGGAACAGGGCAATGTACCATCAAATCTTGGGTGAGAACTTTCTTCCCTCAGCCAGGGCATTAACCACCTCCCGCCCGCCATATAGTAATATGACGGACGCAAGGTGGTTCTCTCGTTCTGGGAGGACTTCATATGACGTCCTTCCATTCTCACCGCGCATGCGCGGCTCAGGAAGCGCGCAGTGCGGCGATCGGCGGTGCGCTGTGTCCCTTGGACACAGTGGATCACCAATCATGGAAAGAGCCGAAGATATCGGTTCTGTTATGTGATCACCGGTGTCCAATCACAGCTGATCACATGTAAACAGGGAAATGCCGGTTATCGGCATTTCTCTCCTCTTGAGCTGTCATGCTGATCATCGGTGCACTGATGATCAGTGTGGAGCCCCAGCAGTGCCACCTGTCAGTGTCCATCAGTGCCTTGTGCCAGTGCCCATCAGTGCCACATATCAGTGCCTACTAGTGCACATCAAAGCCAAATATCAGTGTCCATCAGTGATGCCTGTCAATGCCCATCAGTGCAGCCTCATTTGCGCACATCAGTGCAGCCTCATTTGCGCACATCAGTGCAGCCTCATTTGCGCACATCAGTGAAGGAGAAAAATCACTTATATACAAAATTTTATAACAAAAACTAAGAAAAAACTTTTTTTTTTTTCAAAATTTTCAGTGGTTTTTGGTTTACGAAAAATAAAAAACCCAGAGTTGATTAAATACCACCAAAATAAAGCTGTCACAAAAAAATGATAAAAATTTCATATGGGCACAGTGTTGCATGACCGTGCAATTGTCATTCAAAGTGCAACAGCGCTGAAAGCTGGAAATTGGCATGGGCAGGAAAGGGGTATAAGTGCCCTGTAGGCTTGTGGTTAAAAATGGGTCATGGATGGGTGTTCCAGCATGACAGTGACCCAAAACACACGGCCAAGGCAACAAAGGAGTGGCTCAAGAAGAAGCACATTAAGGTCCTGGAGTGGCCTAGCCAGTCTCCAGACCTTAATCCGATTGAAAATCTGTGGAGGGAGCTGAAAGTTCGAGTTGCCAAACGTCAGCCACCAAACCTTAATAACTTGGAGAGGATCTGCCAAGAGGAGTGGGCCAAAATCCCTCCTGAGATGTATGCAAACCTGGTGGCCAACTACAAAAAATGTCTGACCTCTGATTGCCAACAAGGGATTTGCCACCAAGTACTAAGTCATGTTTTGTGAAGGGAATCAAATACTTATTTCCCCCATGAACATGCAAATCAGTGCATAATTTGTTAGAGACAGGATAGCAACACAAAATTCAAAAATGCATGTCTCAGTGTTACAAGACACATACCATTCGATTTTTAGACTGATCATTTATTCGTGAGTGGGCAGACATTAAAAATCAGCAGGGATCAAATATTTATTTCCTTCACTGTATATCTAGTATGAACTTCCTCAAGAATCTATGATAGCTAGCTTATTGTGAGAAGATGAAGAACTGACTTAACTAAATTCCATCCAGGGAAGTTCACTTGAAAAATTCTGCCGTTTCACCAGCCTAGTCTGGATCAACAGTTGGCCTTGAATACAAACAGGGGATCCAGCTGTGTTACATCAGACTTGCATAAACAAAATATTTGTTTTTCAGGAGCAAACAAAATCAGTCCCTGGCAGGAACATTTCCAAACATGGCACTGTTCCAAAAAGTGTTGGTACATGACCGGCTTTGCACACAATGAGGAAATAGATACTATTGTTGTAAATTTGGACAAAGTACACATTTTTAGCTATTGGCAATGTTTTGGAGGAGCTTCTGTCAAACACTGGACCCAAGACATGTCAATAAAAATTAACAATAACTTGACCTTTTGACATAATTGACCAATGGCATGCATGATACTACACTGTCATCTAAAGTTTGAAGTTAAAAAAAAGCTTCTCTCATAGAAAGTTATCTTGAAAGGAATAGGTTCATGTGGGGAC